GTTATTCGTTCCTAGGCCGTTTTTTTTTTTGGACTGACGGCGGCCCACGGCCCCAAAGTCAGGAAAAAAAAAAAAAAACAGGTGTCCGGGAGCTGCTATCTAATAGCGGGAGACTCCAGGAACATACAGGAGAGTTGAGATGTCTGACTGCTTAACAGTATGCTATGCTAATCGCCGTATGTGGTGCTAATCACAGTATGAGTATGCTATTCACCATTGGCGTTAAAGCCCAACTGTAGCCAGTTCGGATAAAGCAGGGAAGTGTTAGAGCCTCTGTTGGGTTTTATTGCTGTCTGTGTCTTTATTAGGGAGACACACTTGTCAGTACAGGAAATAACTGGAAATGTTGTCAATGGTGACACAGACAAAAAAAAAAAGTTATACTATAGTGAGGAAGGGTTCGATTTGTATTGCTCTCCTTGCTTTCCTGTCTTAGTGACGATTGCCATCCAGCACCCTGACCCCCCAGTTTTTGTATGAGCCCTGCAGGGATATATTGCCACGATATACAGCCAAACAAATGGGAAACAAAAGTGGAAGCCTGCAATACTCATTATTGCAATGGAACAAGTGGTCCTCACCTCTGCATCTACTTCCCACCATAATTTAACATTACATACACATTTCAAAGTCTGTTTGTGCTGATAAGGCAGTAGCTCTGCATTGTGGGCATTAGGCCAATGGAGTCTTCATTGTCATGTGACCTGGAATCCGAATGTCACCAGATATCCTTGTTATAACACACAGGTACAGTTATGCTTACTCTAATACATTTACCATCTGTTCCCCATTGCTACCTAGTTGTTTTAATTAAACAGACCTACATTTTCCCTTTAGTTCTGCAGAATCAGAATCTGCAATACCCACAGCTAGAGTTTCACTTTAAAGTACTACCCCAGATAAATGTATAACATTGCATTTAGCTCAAGTATATATTCCTTGGAAAAGTTCTGAAATATAATGGACATACTCTCCCTCCGGAGGGTGAGGCGCTTCCTTGCGCACCAAATATTCAGTTTAGACATTGTACTTTATATTGAGTTGCCACGTACAGCTGATAATGTTACATCTCGACCATACTGATAATATAAACTTGTAAAGTGTAAAGAGCTTTGAGTCCTAAGGGAGAAAAGTGCTTCATAAATCTTAGCTGTATTGTACTATGTCTGTGGTGTCCAATCTTTCTAAGTGGATTGCAACTGAAGTCGGTGGTGGCCTTGACTGACTGTAAGCCTCTTATCTATTCCCAACAAGAGTGCAGAGCATAGAACTACTTATTAAACTCTTAAGCAGGCCTGTAGTCCTAGGGACATTAGAAGATAAGAACAGGCTTTTCCATGCACAATTATCATATTAAAGAAGAACTCTGAACAGATATGTGAAACATCCTCAAGTTCAGGCATACTGTATATTCCTTCATTAATTCTTCAAAGAAGTCTTTTTATAAAAAACAGAAAAGAAAAGTAAGGTCACATAATAGCACAGAAGCACAGTGTGTTAGCATGTCTGCACTGCACCCCTGGGGGTCCCCGGTTCAAATCCAGATTCAGGCAGGATGCTATCGCCATAGAGTTTATGTTTTCTCCCTGCCATCTGGGTACTTATGGGCAGCACAGTGGTTAGCGCTTCTGCATTGAGGGTCCCTGGTCTGAATTCCGGCCAGGTCACTATCTGCAAGGAGTTTGCATGTTCTCCCTGTGCCTGCGTGGGTTTCCTCCGGGTACTTCGGTTTCCTCCCACACTCCAAAGACATGCTGGAAGGTTAATTGGCTCCTCTCTAAAAATTGTCCCTCTATGTATGCATGTGAGATAGGGACCTTAGATTGTAAGCTCCTTGAGGGTAGGGACTGATGTGAATGTGCAACTATGTAAATAATAATAATACTCTGGGCTTCTCCCACACTCCAAAACATGATGGTAGGTTAATTGGCTACTATCTAAATTGGCCTTAGTATGTATGTGAGATAGGGACCTTAGATTTAAGCTACTTGAGGGCAAAGATTGGTGTACATGAGTAGTATGTAAAGTGCTGCGTAAATTAACAGCGCTATATAAATAAATACATTTCTGAAGGGTAAATGAAGAAGGCAGGCTTACAGGAAGATAAGAACACTCAACATTGTAGTGGTATGAAATAGGACTTCACAGAGCAGACAGGAGGGTGGGGCAGTGGCACGCAGCCAGAGGTTTTTAAAGCTCAGACAAGCAATGGCACCAGTCTTAAACAATGCAGTCCTATATCACATAATAAAAGTATGTAGATCACTTTACAATCTTTTGGCAGGTATGTTTTTTAATGGTGTATTTAGCTGTTGGCTGAAGTTGCCCATTAACAATGTGAGATTTTCTTTCCACGTCATATATAATATGCATTAAACTATAAGATGAAAAGTTTGTTAATGATCTGGCATTGTTCGTAGAATTCCAAATTTATTAGGATCCATAAAGTGATCTCAGTGTCGGAATTCACCATGCAGAAAGACAATCTCTGGCTATCGGATGTCTTCCTCAAGGCCCTCAATCACCTGCCCTTGGAATACAACTATCCTCTCTACAGCAGGATCTTTGATAATTTTGGCACCCATTACATCAGCCAGGGCTCAATGGGCGGATCGTATGACCTTCTCTATCAGTACAGTTCAGAGGAACTAAAAAACTCAGGTAATCAAATTACAGGACAGCCGGGAGATGTGAAGTCTTGCCTTGATGTAATGCTGTTAAAAAAGACTTCGGTTTTTATGATACAAATAAACCTATATTGATTTTATACCACTGGCCATGAATGAATTATTGCTCGTCATTAAATTGTTTTGGACTGAAAATGTTACTGACTTCAACAAAAGCAGCAGTGAAGGATACAGACTACTCCGAAATATTACATTGCTTGGTGCAAAAGGAAAATTGTTAGCTACCCTGCTGCAATTATGTCCATGTCTACTGTAGTGACTGGGTCAGGACATTCTGGTCTACAAAGTTTTATACCCGATTTTCAGAGCGATATCACAACCAGTGAGTGTTTTAGGTAGGGCTCTAATAAATCTATAACAATACTGGATATTTTTTTAAATATTTTATTTTAATTTATTTTTTATAAACCTTTACATTTTTTATATTTTATTTTTAGTTATTTATTTTTATTAAACATTTTTATATTTTAACTTTACTGCTGGGGGCTTCAGTAAAATATCAGGGATCTAAAAAGACCCCTGATATTTTCCTATTAAAATAGAAAAAGATATTGAGGACACAGAGTGTCTTATTCTGTATCCCCTGGTATGAATGAATCCTCTATAATGAGTGTTCCTGTTCATTCATAACTTGTGGATATAGTATGAGTTACTATGTACACAATCATGAATGAACAGGAAGTGATGTAGATGACTTTCCATTCATTCATAACTGGTACATAGTAACTCATACTATGTCCAGTTATTTGCAATCACTGATCGCTGAATGTTTGTATACCACCCTCCATTTTGGATTGACTGCCACAGGAGGCTAGGCCAGCGGTGCAGGGAAGAGAGCTCGGTCTATTTTGACAGCTGATTCCTCCCCCCTCACAGCTGGCTCAGGCTCCTGTGACAGCGCACGGCTGATCTCCACCATGATCAGTCAGAGGAGGCCTTCGGGGGGTGGTGCAGGAGGAGGGCACGACCTCTTGTGACATCACGGGTCGCATTGCTCAGGCTACCTCTGACAGTTTCTCTTCTCCTCGCTGGACGTGTCAGAGGGGACACAAAGCAGCGCAGAACGGGGAGGAGAGAAGTCACGGATGCTCCGCAATTTCGGCCGAAAGATGCCACTTTCGGCATTTTGCCAAAAGTGCCATTTTCGGCCGATATGTTTTGGCAGCCGAAATTTTGGTGCATCCCTAGTATATATTGTAAGGGTTTAGCATCAAACAGCAAGTCACTGACAGAAGACTGGTCCACTTGTCATCCATTCATCATTAAAAGTATACACTGACCCCCAATCATCAATCCTTGTGTACTGAAGTCATCATAATTACACCATTGCTCTCTTAGGTATGACGGATGAAGAATCAAAGGAGTGTTTACGAACAGAAATAACCTATCGGGTCTTTTTTTTCAAAAAGAAGAAAGTGAGGGAGAGCTGCACTACAAACAAGATGTCCGTTCGCTATGGAGGTAAGTGGAATCTTGGAAAAGGTTTACCCGGTCATGTCAACAAATCTTGCAAATGTGGAAGAATCCAAGATATAAGGGCCGGTATGCTATAATGTCCGTGCGAGTGGGAATTTAATGCAAAATCAACAAATATGCTAATAGGGTGCCAATGCAGCTTATGGAGTGGGCATTCCCTTCTTTGTCCCCCCCTCCCCAGTTGCCAGTTTACTGACTGTTTACTGACTGCCCCCCTAAATTAACACTTAGGAGCTGATCTATAATAGACCATTATACCGTTATCCACTCTCTGCAGGACATTGCAGTGCTTATCTACCACCACGCCCACAGTTTCATTCACAAAATGCTAAATGCAGCACAGTGGCATAATGGTTAGTAGACATGTGCAGGGCAAAAAACAACTTGTTTCGGATGAAGCAAATTAAAAGGAAAAACATTTTCATTCATTTCGTCAAAGGAAACAAAATGTTATGCTGTTTAGGATTCGGAGACAACGAGCCTCCGAAATCCGAAACCGCACACTGAAACTGCAGCACAACTGGCGGCCATATGGGCTGCCAGCGTGTTCTGCACATGCACGCAGCCATCTTGAAGTGTATCTTGGTATATACCAAGATGGCAGCGCCCGCATATTCAGGATATACGGCAAGATGGCGGCACGCATGCGCAGAACGCGCCGGCGGCCGATATGACCACCGCTCGTTCAGCGTGTCACATCACCGTCATGTGATGTCATGCGCTCTGCCTCCAAGATGGTGGCAGGCATGCGCAGGACATAATTCCTCCATAATTCTAGGTGAGACTCTGCCTCCCCTGACTGCACGTCTTTGCACCCGGAGCAGAGACCGGGGGACACCCTATCGTGATGTCATCGCGCATGCACATGACATCACCACGCGCGTGACCGTCTAATTGACACCTGCCAGCAGCCATCTTATTGATGGGTGCTGGCAGAGAGAGGAGGGGACGCCGCCGGGTCCCCTCCTCTCTCCTGACACTGACACTTTTCAGAGGGGGTGACATCTGGGTGCGGGCCGCACCTCCGCTCCCCCTTGTGATGCCACTGACAACACTGCTCCTTTATAGATACAGTACCATGAGTAAGTGTCACCTAAGGACAAGATGTTTGATACTGGCCGGATCACCAGTTGAAAATATTTAACTGCTGGCAGCCATCTTAGTGATAAATGAGGGCACAGAGAGGAGGGGATGTTCATCCGGCGAGATAAGCTCTGCCGCTAGGTCAACTCCTTTCTAGTGTAGACGTTGGGCTCTTGGTCCATGACCAAGTGCCCGTCGCCCGACTTTTCAGTGGGGGTGACACCAAAATGACTCTGATGGTGTCACCTGGTGTGGGCCGCACCCCCCTTGTGATGCCACTGGGACAGGCAAATTGCAATATATTACATTTTTGTTTTTGGGTTTTGATACACTATAACCATCCTACACAGCATCGTGCTAGTATGGTGGACATGAGACTTTTGTAGAGATAAATGTCTTGGTGCAGTGATTTCCTGTGTGTCAGATAGCAGGGGGGAGGGTAAGGAAAAGGTGAGTATTTGCTGCTGGGGAGGGACGCATTATAGTGAACCTATTTATTTACCCTACAAATCTATTTACCATTTTTCAGGATCATTTTTGCAATCATCCGAGAAATCCGTCTCCTTTGTCAAAGGCGGCAAAGCTAAATATGCCGCTAAGCTGGCTTATGTGAGACAAGGTTCCTACCCTGAGAATCAAGACTACGAAGAGTGGAAAGCATCTACTTCTGAAAACCAAGAGGTAGTGGATTTCGAGGTGAGTGTCAAAAGGGTTTCTACCTGTACCTAAAAGGTTCATCTGGTTGCTTTCTAAATTCTTAATAGTTAAAAGGTATTAATACACATTTGTGCAAGATTCATGTTTCATGGTACCACTCACCCCAAATTTGCACCATGGCTTCATTCTTCTTACCCTTGCTAAGACTGTTTATTTCTAAAGGCATATACATGCATATAATGATCTTTACAGGGTATGTCCACTTTCTCACACAATGTGAGAAAATGAACTTACCCACATCTAGGGGTGTCCGTAGCCTTATTGCTACCTGAGGCAGGATGGGGCGGTGGTGGGGGTTGGTACATGCAGTCAATGAGCGGGAGAGGAGTGGTGCTGGTGACGCCGCCCTCTTCAGGCTCTAAGCAACCTATGATGCTCTGGCCGGCATCCCACTCAGTTCCTGGCAACCAGTGGGCAGGATGCCAGCCAGAGCACTGGCCCTTACACATCTCCCCACCAGCTCTTAGCAAATTGGATTGCTCTGGCCGAAAAGGGGGTGGCAGGTACATTGTGCAGTCGAGCTGCTCTGCCTGCCACCCCCCCCCTCCACATAACCCAAAAAGAGATGCTGCCTGAAGCAGCTGCCTCAGGCTGCCTCATTATAGGGACAGCCCTGTCCACACCTCTCCCTGCCACTGGTGTTCATACCATTATGCTGCAAGAGCTGACTCTCCCCCCTTCCCCGCAGCTGGTGTATGGTCTATACACCGTACACTGCATTGCAGCCACGTCGCTAGTATTGGACATAATGACTGCAAATACCAAGCACTGATTGGTCAGCACTAGGGTTGCACAGATACCAAGTACAGTACTCGGTACAAGTATGAGTACATGTACCGATACTTTTGAGCTCCAAGACTAGACTAGAGACAAATTCAAAAATTAGGAGGCAGCTGTCATTTGTAAGGAGCACACGGAGCTCCTGGGATTTGTACATCTCTGTTTTATGTACGATTTTGTTTTTATAAATATAAATAAAGTGATGCACAGATACCAGTTTTGCGAGTACGAGTACTGGTACTTGCCGAGTACTTACAAGTACGAGTACTGATAAATTTTTGTTTATTGTCATGTGACAGTTTTTCTAAAACAATACAGACTAATGATTTCAGGACAGTGGTGGAGCGCCAGAGCCAGGTCCCAGCTGCAACCACTGCAACCCTGGTAGTTCACATGAAAATGCCAAGTATCAGCACCGGTACTCGAAAAGTATCTGTGCAACCCTAGTCAGCACAGTCATATGATGACACTGACCAATGAGAAGTGCTTCTTACTTCTGGACTCTGATCCCCGCCTCAGAAGCGATTCTCATTGCTCCACGTGGTCATGGGACCGTACTGACCAATCAGCGCTAACCATTGGTGGCATTATACCTGATACTAACTGAGGGGCTTTAGTGTGGTGTACAGTGTACAGACCATACACCGGCTGCAGGTTGGGGGTGGGGGCTATTGCTTGCAGTGTAACGGTATGAATGGTGGGATCAGGGAGAGGTGGCGGAGTGGTGTGGGTATTAGGGTTGACTCCTTTTCTTCAAGCGAAAGGTGGCAAACATAGTGGGTATATTCATTTTGTGAGAAAGTGGACTTACCCTTAAATAGTTTAGGGGAATTCAGTTTAGCTGCATTTAAAGAAAATCAGATTCTGTGCATCCAGGGTCTTCACCCAGGTAGTTAACTTGGTAGGTAACCTGCTACCCAGTGACCCCTGCTAGCCCAATTAACCCCATCTCCCCTTTATCTCAACCAATAATACAACTACTCTTGAGTGGAGTTTAAATGGCCAAAACAGCTGCAGCTGCAGTTTGCCTGTGGCACCATGTTTTATGTTATACCCATATTCAGGGTGTAACATGAAACATGGTCAGACCGTGCGCTATTGTACATCAGAGCTAGTGTGGGGTACCATGCACTAGGTGCTTTGTGTTGCACTTCATTTAAATGGCATCCCAAGACATCTCCCGGCAGCCGTGCGAGGTAGTGCACGGAACCGCAATCTCATGAGTTAAATGCTACACCATGGTGTAAAGGGACCTTACTCTCACTATTACTCTTGGTGGCTATTGTCATCGGGACAGAAAGCATCGGGAAATCCAAACACCGGAACAGGAGATGAGGGAAAATCATCTCCTGGAGTCACTTGTTCAAGTGACAACTGTCTAAGGCCCCTTTCACATGGGCTGATCAGGACGGGCTCCATGCCCTGATTGGAGTGGTACGGATCAGATCTCACTGCTGTGACATCCATGTCTGTCCAGTTTTTTACACCATTGCAAGAACTAAAACAGCTGGACAACAGTTTGCGGCATGCAGGCTTTAATACTGTGATACTGCTCCTGTCCCTGGCTCCCCTATGACAGGCCCACCCTCACTCCTGTTGCAGGAGACTTGACAAATGAGCAACCGTAGCACACAAAAGCATTTTTTGATCATTAACGTGTAAACACTAATATAAAGAGCACCCATGTCAACAAGTACCTACGAAGCATTTACGTTGTACCAAGCAACTATTAACAGGCGTTTAGAAGCCTTCAGAGGCATTTCACAAGTTCTCTGAGGCTTATAAGCTCTGCAGAGACTTCCTGAATGTTTAATAAATGGCTTATGAACACAACGCTCATCAGACTATTTTTTTTAAAGCCAAGATGAAAAAATGTCCAGAAAGAAACTAGTGATGGCATAGGGAAAAATAAGAATGACCTTTATCTGTAATGATCCTTCACTCTCTCTCCCTTAACTTAATAAATGGGCCTGGCATTTTTATAGGGACTATTGAACCCATTTTAAAGCTTTTGGTTTGATGAACCTGTGCAGTGCTAGGCGGATGCAATATAATAGGGTTAATATATGAAAACTGGTGCAAAAGTAGAACTGTTGTTCATAGCATCCAAGATGCCGTGCTTCATCTGATTGGCTGCTATGGGCAACAGATTTAAAAAAATAAATAAATCAGCACAACTTGGGGCAAAGCCTTGTGAAGTGGTGTAGTGCTTGCAGTGCTGTGCTGGCCTACGATTGGCTTGTACCATACACTGCTGGTGAATGAGCAGATACTTTTTTCCAGGTGCAATTTACATTATTCTTACTGCAAGTAACTTTATAACTGGAATGAACAACCCTACAAATTCGAACTCTCCCTCTCCACCTGTACACGTGTGTAGACTGCCAATGTTTTTATATTTCCTTTCCTTGTTTGCATTAATGAAGTGTTAATATTTGCCTTTGTCTGTTACAAGAGCATTTTGTATTTACTAATGTCAGCCTACTTTAATGCATTAACTATCAAACAATGTCACTTATCAGTGTTTTTATTTCTCCCAACATTATGTAGGTCTTAGAACATAATTCTATTTCAGGCACCATAAAAATTTAAAAAAAAAAACAGCTGGACCCAATGTCGGTCTATGGTGAGTCAGATATAAACAGACATGTGTCCGCTTACATCAGATTTCCCCTGATTCAGCACAATCAGGTCCGGTGAAACGGATATCGGACCTGAACCTGGAGTTAGGGGTAACTGGGTGCAAACGAACACCCATCCGTTTACACCTGGCAGCCCATAGACTTGCATTGGGCATCCAATCGGGTCCTCTTGAAAAACTGACAGGCGGACCTGATCAGACCGCCCATGTGAAAGGGGCCCAAGAAGGGAATTCCCATTTCACATTGGAAAGATTCCCTCACATTTCCTGTTGTGTCTCTTGCCAAGGAAGTAAACAAAAACTTAAAAAATGGAATACAGACAACAACAAAAAACTTGACATGGATACTAATTCTTCTCAGATATATCCAACTACTAAAGAAGAAAATACCAAAGCATTTATATATAATATTTTACTAGTACTATGGTTGTTTTTTTTATTATTTTCTTTGAATTTTATTCAAACTACATGTACTATTGTTTCCATTTGATTGTTTTTCTTTTTAGAGATTACTAGTTGTGCCCCATTTTGGTAATTCGCTTCTTTTAATGATTCTTACAGCTGAAGCCCATTGTGGATTTAATTACTGGATTTCCCTGCGCAGTGACGAAACGTCGCAATCTCCTGAAGGCTTTTAATGAGTATCTGGGGAGGTTTGATCCATGTCAGTGTTCCCCCTGCCCTAATAATGCCAGGACGGTTTTAGTGGGTACAGAGTGCCTCTGTGTTTGTCAACCTGGTACATACGGGCAGAGCTGTGAGAAACGTGCACCGGACTACAATTCAGGTAGGTGGTGAAAACTCTGCAATATTTCCAGTCTATAGAAACTAATTATATGCCAGATCTGACGGACATGCACAGGCTATTGTGGTTGTGTGCCAGGCCTATGGTATCTGGCAGAGACCTATTGCAGTCTGCATATGCGCAGATTCAGCACATATGCAAACACACTGCGGTCCTCCTACAGGCATCTGAAAGAGACACAAGACATGTCTGTGCATGTGTGAGATCTTGCAAACTGCCTCCTGGGATGTGTGAAGTAGATATCCCAGAAAATATATTTCTGCAGAATATATCGATTAACACCCTTGTGCCGCCCCAATAGGGGCATAGAATATGAGATGCA